GACCTTTGCTTTCAAAAACATTATAACTACCAGGCAACACGGATTCATTGGTGGCAGGTCAACGGCCACTAACCTGTATCAGTATATTAATTACGCTTTGGACGCAATGGGCGACAGCAAAGATGTCCATGCAATTTATACGGATTTCAGCAAGGCTTTTGACATGGTGGACCATGGCATACTAATCCAGAAACTTGGCTCTTATGGAGTAAAAGGGAACGCTTTGGAATGGTTTCGATCCTACCTGTGTAATAGGCATCTGCAAGTCAGAGTTAATTGCCACATATCGAGCAGTTTTGTTACAACATCAGGGGTGCCACAAGGGTCACACCTGGGCCCAATTCTGTTTAATATCTTTGTGAATGACATAGGTAACCAATTTAAATCGGAACACCTACTGTATGCTGACGACCTAAAAATTTTTAATCAAATAACTAGTACAGATGACATGAGTAAATTACAGAATGATATCAATAGCCTAAGTGTCTGGTGCACATCAAATAAGCTTAGTCTAAACATAAGTAAATGTGTTGTCATGTCATTTTCACGTTCGCATAAGCCACACCCACCCGTATACTGGTTGAACGGCCAAAAGCTGCAGGTGGTCACCACTATCAAGGACCTTGGAGTAACGGTTGACAACGAGTTGAACTTTGCTAATCACATTAACGACATATCGCTACGTGCACATAGAGTGTTGGGCCTCATTATTAGGTCTGGCAGAGATTTCCGCGACCCATACACACTCATACGCCTGTTTGATGCATTGGTTAAACCTATACTCGTATATTGCAATATTGTCTGGGCGCCTTCCTCTGACCAGCTTGTAAACCGACTGGAATCTACTCAGCGTAAGTTCTGTAAATACTTATCCTGGTTTTTAAACTCAGTGGCAGCAGAGATGAGCACGGATGATGTCTATAACTACTTCAAAATTAACAGCCTGTCGTGTGGAAGGCAGGCTTGTGACCTGCTTTTCTTTTATAAACTTGTTAACGGCATCGTTATCTCACCTGAGATTTTAGCTCAATTTTCTCTCATTTGTCCAAGAGCAGGCCTCCGACATGGTCGACTACTTGAAATTAAAAAGACCACAAAGAACTACGTGTGGAATGGACCCAGAAGCAGAATCGCTAGATTAGTCAACGAACACAGCTCAACATTGAACTTTTTCGGTGGATCTTACAACCAGTTCACGAAAAATGTAAAGGATCAACTCTATAATCATCGATAACCCCACTTTAAAAATAGCAGATATAACGAATCCTGCTTGAATTCATATTTAAAAGTCCGAAACATATTGTTCTTATCTGTTTTATTCTTTTATACTTTTCATGTGTGATTGTTTTTAAGCGTAAAGCCGTTTGGCGTTAAGCGTTAAGCATAAATAAATAAATAAATAATAACAAAGTAAAGAGTTTTTCGAAAGCCATCGCTATTTATTAA